TTAATAACAAGCACAGGAAAATAAATCACATCTGCCCCAGAAGTGAGCTCAAAGTCAAAAGCAGCCACAGAGAGAATTTGTGAGTTGAGCTTTGGGTCAACTTTAATTCTGAAGGAAATGAACCTTTAAAAAGAAAAATCAAATAGTCTATGTAGACAAAACATTAATCTACACTGCTCTAATAAATTTTGAGCCCTTTAAAAACTTTTTTTCCTTAAATGGATATCTGCCAGAGCAGAACTTCTCTGATAAGATGGCCTGAGGCCAAATACAGTATAGTAAAGACATTTGTGCTCTATCTTCATCCAACCCTCAGGTCTATTTCTATTTCCTAAAGAAACATCCAGGTATTTAGGCTTATCCCTATAAAACAATTCATATAAAGAAGTAAATCATCTCCACACACACACACTCTCTAAAACCAATTCCTTTTTTCCATCTGAGCTTAAGCTAGTCCACAGGAGTGAGAGTTTTGGAAGCCACAAACAAACACTAATTAGACAGCCAAGTAGGTTAAAATGCCTGCAGCGGGGTATAACAGAGTTCTGCCATAGGCAACGGGGAAACCATCCATTCCTCTACCTCAGGGCTAGAACAGATGCTCCCACAGAGCAGCAGCAATGGTAACACCTACAGACCATGTTTGCATCTGAAATAATGCTGCCCAACTGAAATATAGTGAGAGTCACAGACATAATTTCAAATTTTCCGGTGGCTACTAAAATATTTAAAAAGGAATAGGGGAAACTCATCTTTATATTGTATTTAATTCAATGTACCAAAATGTGTTATTTCAGCATCTCATCAACATTTAAACGTTATTAAAAAGATATCTTTTTTTTCCCCATATGAAGTCCTTTTTTCTTTTTCCTTCTTTCCTTTTTTTTTTTTTTTTTTTTTTTGACACAGGTTCTTGGTCTTGCTCTGTCCTCCAGGGTGGTATGTGCAGCAGTATCATCACAACTGACTGGAACCTCAACCTCCTGAGATCAGGTGATTCTCCTACTTTAGCCTCCAGAGTGGCCAGAACTACAGGTGCATGCCACCGCACCCAGCTAATTTAGTATTTTTTGTAGAGACAGGGTTTTGCCATGTTATACAGGCTGATCTCAAACTCCTGGGCCCAAGAAATCCACTCACCTAAGCTTCCCAAAGTGCTGGGATTAGAGGCCTGAGCCACCGTGCTTGGCCATAACTGAGATGTGTTGTAACTGTCAATTAGCCATATTTCAGATGCTCAATAGCAAGATGAAACTAGTGGCCACCATATAGAACATATAGAATTGAGAATGTTCAGCATAATAGCTGTTTGCAGAACAAATAAAAAGATAAACTTTTTATTGCATTTTTTTATTGTTTCAACGTCCCAAGAAAGAGATAATAGCAAATAAAGGCTTCTGAGAAAAGGAGGCTGACTTACCCCAAATCAAACCATGAATAGAGTTGGAAAAATTTCTGCTCATCTTGAAGTCTAGAACTTGCTACAAAACACCAAGTCTTTTATGTATATGTACTTACAAAATAAAGTCATAACTATCGGCCTCTTCTCATTAAAAGCATGGCAAATTTCCAAATCTCCATTTGTTTAAAATTAATGCCCTTTTTCAGCCACATAGTCATAGTCATTCTTTTTCAGATAGCTGGCAACTTCACTTCCTCACCTCACTGCCCCATCCCCTCCTTTTTCATTTTGTCAAAAGCCAGACCAAATAGTTAATGCTTCCACTGTACAGTTGGAAATTGTAAAAGGAATTCTGAACAAAGTTGTAATAAGGCCCAGTGAAAACGCATCAGACTGAATCCAAAGCATTCACATAATGTTAACTTCTAACCTCAAAGTAACCAGCTAGGTTCTTAAAAAGGAAAACACAAGGACTAAATCACCAAATCTTAGCATAATGAAATTATAAATGAAACATTCAGTCTATTAAAAAGACCCAAGTTTTTAAAATAAACAAAGACAACTCATAAAATCAATTTTTTATAGAAAAAAGACCACAGATTTGAGCACATATTTGGAGTTCAACAAGCCTAGATTCAAACCCTAACCCAACCACTATGCGTCTTGGGCAAATTATTTAACCCTTTAAATATGCATCATCATCTGAAAAAACAGATATTTAAACTCTGTGTCTAACAGAGTTATTGCAAAGATTATACAAAATTAAACATTGTAATTAGCACACTATTTGGATGCTAATAAACATTAGTCAACTCCTATTAGATTGCTGCTCTGTTCATTTCTTTAATTTGTGTAACACAGAAAATACTAATCTGAATTTATAGATCTAATATCAGTAGAAATAGAAACCTTATGACACAAAATTTTCCTTCTGTTTTTCTCTTTACAGAGAAAGACAGATGGGATGGGGCTGGGATGGTAAATAGCTCAGCTACATGCTACTGAGAACAAAGGTCTGTAAAAAGTGCTAGAAACTGCTGACATCAATAGTCCAACTGCTCCATAACTTGGTATATCCCTCACATCAAGCATATAATAATACCAATATAAAAGCAGTAAGTGTTATCACGGGGGAATACGTGGGGTACTAAGGGAGTTCAGAGAACATTTAGCTCAGCCTGGAGAGATATCAGGGAAGCCTTCCTGAAGGAGGTAACCACTTGATCTCAGTCAGGCATGCAAAAAATGAAAAGAAAAATGAGGGAGGAGTGGAGAAGGAAAACCTAGAGAAAAATAATGGTATCAATGAAGACACAGGATGTGAAGCACTATGCAGTACACACAGGAGAACTGGGAGCAGAGAACTGCTAGGGTATGCTGCTAGATGCATGAGACGGAGACTGGGGAAGCAGACAGGGCTGAGGCCATGAAAGGCTTCATATAACAGAGGAAGGACCTTAGACTTTATCCTGTTGATGATGAGCAGGGCAAAAACAAAGCTTGTCATTGGGAATCAAAGAATTGGTATGAGTGAAGAAGAAAACCTGTGATGAGTAACAAAACACTGACGGTCACTCTAAATGACAGACAGCAGATCAAAGGGAATAAAATTGCCACATTAAACTTACCCATGACCTCCACCACCCTTTTTGGAAAATATAAAAACAGAAACATCTTATAAGGACTTCTATCAAAGAGAGGCATTTATTAAATGTCCTGGGCTAAGAAATTTGAATAAAATATCATTTCACTGGGAAAGTTTCCCCCAAGAGAAAGCCTTCCTAATTAATATAAAAGCAAGAAACCAAATGTAGTATCAAATAAAAACAAGCAACGATATAAAAATGCTTCAGAAGATTCCGTAATCTTCACTGGCATCAGAAGCCTCAGTACTACGCAGTCACTCTCTCACAGGACATGGGAGAAATCTGAATGTAGTCAAGTTCTTTTTTTTTGAGACAAAGTCTCACTCTGTTGCCCAGGCTGGAGTGCAATGGCACAATCTTAGCTCACTGCAATCTCCGCCTCCCAGGTTCAGGCAATTCTCCTGCCTCAGCCCCCTAAGTAGCTGGGATTACAGGCAGTGACACCAGGCCCAGTTAATTTTTGTATTTTTAGTAGAGACGAGGTTTCACCATGTTGGTCAGGCTGGTCTCAATCTCCTGACTTTGTGATCCACCTGCCTTGGCCTCCCAAAGTGCTGGGATTACAGGCGTGAGCCACCGCGCCCGGCCTTAGTCAAGTTCTTAGCAAGTATCTCATCCTGTCCAATACTGTAAGGATCATTAAAAAGAGGAAAACAAAAACAAATTTTTCCTATTTTTGTCATGTAATTAGTTACTATTTATCATTTAATTACAGTAATTTTTTAGATTGAAAAAAATAGCCTCTGAAAAATCTACCATAGAAAAATGGCAAAAACTAGAAGAGAGAATATGACAAAAAGTACAGAGGGGTAGGAAGTGAAGTTCTAGGATCAAGACCCCATGAAGAAATTCTAGGGGATATCCCAATTCTAGGAAAACCTGATGAGAAGGTATTAAAAGGAACAGTTTGGGGATTAAAAGCAGAAATGTTTGGCCTCCCAGGAAGTCATGTTACCGGATTTTTAAACACTTTTTATCTTTTTCTATTCATAGCCTATAGCTCTAAAGAGTACTCTAAATAATTAGCGGCTACAGATTTTAAAAAGCGCATCAGAGACACTAAAAAATACCAGGTAGTAACAGCTGCACTCAGCATCAAACTTTCTTTGTAGAGGACAGTCCATCACTGTATTTTTTTCTTATGATACTAACTTCCCGCTGGGTTTCCACATTAAATTAATTTCTCTCAAAAGGCCCAACTCTTAGTCCCTTAATCAGTTCTTAATTATCTCTACTTTCAGTAGATAAACAGATACAAGGAGAAATAAGAATCACGTGCCTGCACAACTCACTCAACCTGCCTACGACTACATGAGAAACTTCCAAGAGGCTGTAAAATTAAGCAAGACTATTCTTCTAATGTCAGAGGAAAAAAAAAAAAAACACATTTTCGTTATGTGTGCAAAAAGGGATAGAAAAAAAATGTAAGATGCATATCATAAAAATAATGTCATTAAGACTACCTGCCCAACACTTTGCCTAGTTATAGGACATGACATTAAGATGGGACAGATTTCTGTCCATGAACAAACAATAAGCTCTGACCTCTTATAGCCTGTACAATTTATTTTACCATTTCAGGATTCTTTTTCCTCTTTAATATTTATTAAGCATCTACTATGTTCTAGTAATGTTCTAGGTAATATGCTGCTTTTCACAGATAATAAGCTTAGGTTGCACCAGTAATGCTCTTCTCTCATACCTGCCAGAGCATCTAGCATGGTGCTGAGTTCAGAGTTGCTGCCCAATAATACCTGTGAAAATGTCCTTGAGTGAACATAGGAGAATGTATGAGGTTAGCACAACAAGCAATGATCTAGCATGGAGATCCTGCTCAGTTCATACACTGGTCCCAGAGCAGACCTATATTTGTTACTGATATTTTAAAAAACAGTCCTCTTCTGGTTACCAATCCATACCCCATTCTGGTGGATTCTCCACACTGTACATACCTGTCCATTGTGGAGGACAACGGCAGTTATAAGTGTTGACCCCATCCACACAAACTCCTCCATTCTGACATTTATGGTTAGGGCAGTCATCAATATTCTTCTCACAGGTGTTCCCTTCAAAACCTGGTAAATGAAGAACAAAACAAAATGATGGAATCTCATACAGAAGAAACAACCTGCTCTGTTCCCACAAAACATGGTTATTAATTAGAATAGACCTGCTTCATGACTTCAGTTCAACAGCTGCTCACCCAGGACTTACCATATGAAAAATCCCCAATTTTCTCTGGCCTCAAGCATAGCTAGACAGTGAAATGACTCACTGTGCCAATGGCATGCCTTCATAGTCACCTCACAAACATTTCAAAATGTTTTCATGAAATAAAATCCCAGGGTAATAAATGTCTACTTGGGACAGAGATATTCACTGATTCTAAAAAACACAGGGTATTAGATTTTCCCCAGCTCCACACCAGACTAATGGGAAGAACAGATTAAAAATCACCTAATTCAATTTAAGTTCCTTTTATTTTTTTTTCTTTGAATGATTGCTAGGAAGCCTCCAAGCCAGTTGGGGAAGAAAGAGGGGGAGGAGATAGGAAAAACATTGAGCTTAAAGTGTGAAGAATGGGTCAAGTCTCAGTCTCAGCACCTGCATGCTATTAGTGCATGGCAAGCTAAAGTTCTGCATCAGCTTCCTCACCTGTAAAAAATGCGGCTAATTCCACTGGCCTAGCCTGTCTTTCAAATTATAACTGCCACACCATGAGTAAAGTGCTATACAAATGTTAAAAGGTATCTGAAAATTGGGTGGCATTATTACTAATTAAGCTTGCCAGCATTTCTAATTCATCTGGCTCTTCTCTAAACTTATAGCACTGCTTCCTTCCTCTTGATTTTTTCTTGTATGAAAAATGAAACTAGCACACCAAACTTCACTCTAACTGTCCACATTGTGGTTCTCTGTAGTTTACATTTTGGGCTTCTTCCTTTCTCCTTCCTTGCTACCAAACCCCTGAGCTAATTAAACAGAAGACTACCAGCTTCTATTCTAAATATTCTCCTATTTGAATATAGTATGATTATATATTTGGCTTCCTCAAAATCTCCCTTAAGGTTCCTCTCTCTCACTCAAAATACTTATTGGGTCTTACATTACGCACTGGTGATACAGCACTGAGTCCCTGCTTTTGTGGCATTTACAGCCTGATGAGTGGGACAGACGTCAATCACACTCTGCTTTACTCCCTACTATAAGTTTCTGTGGTATTCTACACCTGCTCTGTTAACACTAGACCATGACTGGTTTCTCTTAACACAATGGCAGACACGTAAATAAGCATAAATGGAGTGACCAAAAACATTAGGCAAAAATCAAAAGAAATCACTCTATGGAAGACAGAAATCACTGAAGGCTTTATTGAAGAAAATTATATTTCTCCAAGTATTTGGTACTCAGTCCATTTAAGCAGATGAATCATTAAGCAAGCCTGAAAAAGACTGAAAATATACTCAAATTTTAAAAATGTATCATATTACTCATACAGAAACATGAGTCTTACAAATAGACTAACAAGCCAGAAAATGATGAACCACTGAAGCCCACCCTGCAGCATCCTGCGCCTACCAGGTCCTTGAGCTAGGGTCTTTGCTCCTAGTCTGCTGCTCTTGATGAAGACATTCTTTGGAAATGTTTAGATTAGTTTTAGATTGTTGGGGAAATAGGGTTCCTGGCCTACCACTGTTAAACTTGAGAGGTTTGGTGGTGTATCAGAATGTGGATGACCATCTTCCCCCTAACTTGATCTCTCTGATGAGTAAGACTAAATACAGTTGACTAGGGTTTTGGGGAGGCAGTAAAGACTTTGTAGCTAAACTATAAGGAATAGAAACTGTGACTCTAACTTTATATTAGCCAATGTTACAACTAACTGAATTCACCAAACACAGGCAAATTAAAAAAGCAGAGGCATTTCAGCATAACCACAACAGAAAAGAAACAAAGTGTTTTCTTTTTATAACTGATTGACTACTGTTGAGGTACTTCTTCCCTGTCAATAGGTAGGTAGGTAAGAAGGGAGGTAGAAAAGACAGTTATTTCATGGCTAAAAGCATGGGGCCAAACTGCCTAGGTTTAACTCTCAGCCTTGCCATGCAATAACTGAGTGAACCTGGGGAAGATACTTAAACTTTCTTAGGGAATTAACAGGACCTACCTTAAAGGGTTATCATAAACATTACATGAATTAGATAAACAGAACTTAATTCAACAAATGGTCCTGGGACAACTAAATATCCACATGCAAAAGAATGAAGTTAGACTCCATCCTCACACATAAAAATTAACTCAAAATGGATTGAAGAGCTAAAGGTAGGCACTAAAATGATAAATCACTTAGAAATAGTAAATCCTTGTAACTTGGGATGAGCAAAGCTTCCACAAATATGACCAAAAGCACAAGCAACAAAAGAAAAAAAAATTGTATTTCATCAAGTTAAAAACATTTGGGCAGAAAAGGATATCATCAAGAAAGTGAAAAGAGAGCAAGCTGAATGACAGAAAATATCTGCAAATCGTATTATCTGATAAAACTTGTATTTAGGATATATTAAAAAATTATTACAGTTTAATAATAAAAAGATAATCCAATTATAAAGTAGGTAAAGGATCTGAAGAGACATTCTCCAAAGAAGATACATAATTACTAATAAGCATAAGAAAAGATGTTCAAAATCATCAATCATCAGGGAAATGTAAATCAAAACCACAATGAGATAAACACTTCATATTATGGATGAATATAATAAAGAAGACAGACAATAACAAGTGTTGATGAGGATGTGGAGAAACTGGAACTCACATATACTGCTGTTTGGAATGTACCCACTTCAGAACAGTTTGACAGTTCCTGAAAAGGTTAAATGCCATTACCATCTGATACAGTAATTCTGTTCCTATGTATATACCCAAGAAATATGAAGATATATGTCCACCAAAAAATTATACAAGAATGTTTATAACAGTATTATTCATAATACTCAAAAAGTAGAATCAACTCAAATGTCAATCAACTGATAATAAATAAAATGATAAAATGTGGTAAATCCATATGATCAAATGTTATTCAGCCATGAAAAGGAATGAAGTACTGATATATGCGACCACATGAATGAACTTTGAAAACCTCATGCTAAGTGAAAGAGGCTACCACAAATTACTACATGCTGCATGCTTCCATTTGTATGAAATGTCCAGAAGAGGCAAATAGAGACAGAAAACAGACTAGTAGTTGCCTACCAGGGCTGAGAGGGAGGTAGGAGGAATGGAGAGTAATTGATATGGGTAAAGGGTTTCTTTTTATGTATAAAAATATTCTAAAATTGTTTGTGATGATTGCTACTTCAATCTGGGACTATACTAAAATTTTTTAATTGTGTACTTTTTTAAAAAGTAAATTGTATGGTATATAAATTATATCTCAATAAAGCTATTGTATTAAGGGAAAACACACTAAACACAGTGTCTTACACATATTAGCTAATATTAATATTTGTTAGTGGTATTATGGCAACCCTTAGAGATGGTCTAATCCTTTTATGCTACAGATGAGGAAGTTGAGGGCCGCATGGCTGACTTGCCCAAGATTAAATGGCTAATAAGTAGGAATAAGTACTTAACCAGAAACTTTACCCAATTGCAGTCCATATGTTTTCTGGGATCCAGGAGTTCCCTTTTGACAATGTAAAAACACAAACTTTGGTCAAAAGTTCCCATGTCTGAGAAAATCCAAGCCAAATCAGTTCTCCTCCAAAATTAAGACAGGATTTATGGTTTAAAAATAGAGATACAGAACTTTTTGGAAAGATCAACCAAATTCTTGTAAGAAACAGTCTACCCAAAGCAAGGGAATGACTATATGAAAAGTTACAAGGCACTTCTTAAAAATATATCTTAAGTTTTTAGGGAAAGGTAAACAGACAAGTTTCCAGACCCGTGGGTGGGATGGGTGTAGCTGATTCACAGAGAGGCTAAAGGGAGTCTACTGCTTAAAGCCAATTCACATCCTTAAAAGGTCAAATGGAGAGAAATTAAACTCCAGAGAAGCATTTTAAGACTGTGCTGTTACAAAACCATGGGCCACTTAACTGATTAATGATGGCAATGAGGGCAGGGAACAGAAAAACGTTTTTCAAACCTGTCGGCCCCACACAGAACAGCATATTTCAAGGAAACACCCTTATCTTTCCATTTTCAGACCCTGGGAGGTGTGAGGGTGGAAAGGCTAGGTAGAGAAAAACAAGATGAGAGCAGAAAGGAGATGAAATGACACAACCAGGATTCTCCCAAGCTGGGCTCAAAGTCTTCAAGAAAAGTTCCCATGAAAGAGTGAAGAAAGAGTTTCTTCCCTCTCCCACAGAAGAAAGAGTGAAGAAAAAAAAAACAGGAATACCTGGAACTAAACAAAGATAAAAAGATACAAGGATAGTTTTTTCCCCCATTAGAAGTCTATCACAAAGCAAACCTGCCAATATACACTCAGTGTAACACCCAAGAAAAAGACACATGCAGCCGGGCACAGTGGCTCACGCCTGTAATCCCAGCACTTTTGAGAGGCCGAGGTGGGTGGATCACCTGAGGTCAGGAGTTCAAGGCCAACCTGACCAACATGGAGAAAACATCGTCTCTACTAAAAATACAAAAAATTAGCTGGGCATGGTGGCAGCCACCTGTAATCCCAGCTACTTGGGAGGCTGAGACATGAGAATAGCTTGATCCCAAAAGTGGAGGTTGCAGCGAGCCAAGATCACGCCACTGCACTCCAGCCTGGGTGACAGAGTAAGACCCTCTCTCTCTCTCAATCTCTCTCTCTCTCTCTCTCTCTCTCTCTCTCTCTCTCTCACACACACACACACACACACACACACACACACACACACGAAAAAAAAAGAAAAAGAAAAGAAAATGACTCATGCCCCAAAGAAGTGTGAGAATGCAAGAGGGAATTCCTGGCCTTTCCCTATCCAACCAGTTTTCTTGGCACACATCTTCCATTATCTGAGTGAGTCCAGATTAGCTCACAGACCCCTGTGACTGTGCCACATATCTCCCCATTACCCCCACCCCAAGCTCGCTGCTTACACCTGCTTCCCTTGATATCTTCCTCCACTTTTTTCTAACTTTGTCACCAAATAAGTCAAAGAAATAAATAGGAGGATTCAAAGAGAATAATTTCAGTACATTTTAAAAATTGTAGAATATAGGAATTCTCCTCTGTTTACCACAGTCCATTCATTCATTTTCAAAATATTCATTGAGGCTCCATTTTATGGCAGGCACTACGCTGGGGATGCTGGGGACTAAGGTAGGGAGTTAAAATGAGAGTTTCTACTTGGAAAGGTGAACAGATAAATAATTACCGTGATAAGCACTGTGCTAGAGATATGCAGATGTCAAAAGACCTTAGAAGGTCTCCAGTCCACATGGAGGGTAGGGAATGTAGAAGGCATTTCAGTGAAACAGAGTGCCTTTCACAAATCATTAAGAATGAGTTATATATTAAAAAAAGAGAAGAGGGTGATAGAAAGCAGAGGAGGCAGCAAAGGCAAGAACATCCAGCATGAGAGAACAGTGAGGGACATCAGGAACATCTTTCTGGAACATCAGGTAAAACAGACTTTGGGCCCAAGTCAAAGGAGCTAAAATAATACACCCTGGAGAGTGGTATGATCATTTCTGCATCTGTTCCAAAGAAATCTGCCAAAATATGATTAGCATAATACCCAAGAGAACGTCACATTCCCCAAATGTGAAAATGCAAGAGGGAATTATTTCTAACAGTTCTTAAGCTCAGCAACAACAGAGTAGACACAAAGGCCAGAAAATGTGCTTAAGCTTTACTTTAATGATATAGGGATATCACGTACCATCAGCCTGTGGAGTACAGAGGTGTTTTACAAAGGCTAAGCCTTCACTGTTTGGAAAGGAAAGATCAGAGAGCTCTTCATGAAGTTTAAACAAAATCAGAGGAATAAAGAGATGTGGGAAAGAAAGAAGAAAAGAAAGTACATTGAGGACAGTCCTATCCAACTGTGAACTCATAAGTCACAGCCAGTAAATTCAAAACAGCCTACTGTTTTCTGATTACTTGTGCTACTTTATTAAAATAGCCACAAACACAAAACTAGTCTACCTCTTTCTCTTCCCATTATTGGCCCTAACCCAAAAATACTGGGAGTGAATGATTTAATAATTTATTTTCATATTCCATTTTGTTCTTAAATTAAAATTACTGTGGCTGGGTGCCCCTCCTGTAGCTTCTGCTAAAGACTTTACATAAAGAAAGTTCATGAAGTGTCTGGATTTCTAACAGTTACTTATTCAAAAAGAAGATAAGATGTGGTTCATTGATTTGATTCTATTAGTTCTCTCTTGAAGTTATTTTTCTCCTCCCTCCGTGAAGAAACATTTCTGTCATACAAGATGAGTCATTTTTGTAGTTTTAATTCCCTCCTGAGTCATACAATAATATTAAAATATACTCACAGTGACTACAGTATCCTTTGCAAGAAAAGAATTGTAACTTAACCATTTAAACATAGTCACTAAGTTATGTGGCATTCACTGACTCAGAGTTGAAAACGACTCCAAAATTCTCATCCCATATTAAGAGTATACAAGGACAAAAGGAGAGGCTAAACTAAGTCTAGGATGCACAATACAAAGAAAAAACTGAGAAGACCAAAGTTGCATTCTCAATACTATGATGAGATACTAACATACAGTCAGTCAGCCAATACATATTTGCAGGCCTAGCATATACCGGGCACTGTTTGTAGGTGTTTGGGATACATCAGTAAACAAAAACAAAGATCCTAGTTTTCATTCTGGAAAGGGTAAGAGGCAGTAGAATTTGGAAAAGACAGACAATAAACAATAGACATAATGAAGTAAATTACATGGTATAAATTATATAGTAAGAAGATAAGAGTTACAGAAAAAGAAAACAAAAAGTAGACCAGGGTTAGTAATTAAGGGGATGGGGGACGGTTACAATTTAAATAGGGTGGTTATGGTAAGCCTCAATTAGAAATGCAAAGACGTGAAATGCAGTAGAAGCAACCATTTAGGAGTTGCAGAAAAATTTAACAAGCTACTTTGCCTCCTGCTGACTTTGTTTCCCCTTTTTTATCACTGAAAAAATAATTCTTTTCAAATAAGGTGCTATTTACATTGAGATAGTAACTATTACGCTAAGTAACATTTTAGTCTCTTTACAAGCATAGGGAGCAATGGAAGGAAGGGCAATGGAAGGAAGGGCACTGCATTATGAAAATGACTTTTTAAAAGAAAAGCATCTCTAGGCACCATTTCCTTTTATGGAAATAAAGCGATATTTTCTGAACTCCACCTGGGACATACGAACAAGGTGCATAAAATCTTACAAATTATATAAATAACATTTATTCACAGTGTCACTACATCATCTATTGTTTTGAATTATCTTTAATTTTCTTTCTATATATTTATTCAAAGCTGAAGTCATCTGTTTTAGATTATGGGACCCTGAAAAGTAAGAACTCGTCTATGTAACTACTTTTAAACATCTGCACAATCAATGCTATATACATGTATATATATATTGATATATAACAAGTACTATTTGATTACAATTAGAAGTATCGTGTTTTTCTCATAACATGAACATATATTTTTAACCCAAACAGCTCAAAGCATTGAACAAAAAGTTTTACACACCTACAAAGTATTTTCAGGAAGCGGACGTGCATGTGGCACAGTAAGATGCACAAAGCAAAGGCTTTGAAAATAAACTGCCTGGGTTTCAGGACCCAGCCTAACCACATATTGGCTGTACAGCTTTGGGTAAATCACTTAACAGCTTCAAACTTCAGCTACTTCATGTGGGAAAACTTGAAAAATGATACCTGTTCCCAAGATTTTTGTGTAATTGAGCTAATAAGCATGGAAGTACCTGGCATAGTTCCTGAGCCACCAAAAAAAAAAATGTTAGTTTTCTCTTCACCAAATCTCCCCATTCCCACTCCTCATGCTAATCTCCCCTCCCACACACACACCTCCCCCCATTAGTGAGTAAATAAATGTCTTGCTTTAAACTACAAGTAGAGAATAAGAGACAGCCAAGATTTCCTTACTCTATTTCACTAGCCCTGGCAGCCTCTCAGCCGTGGAATCCTTGGTTATTTCCTTTCTCAAGGAGGAGATACTATTCTAGTTTGACAGATCCTTTCCTGGACACACTCTCAGAATTCCCTAAGGTTCTTATCGTGGCTAATGGGTAACAATGCAGAGGCTATGGGAGTGAATAATCACTCTCTCTCAGCTAAAAACTTCCTTTATTGACTTCTCTAACTTCCCGTCAACATCTTGCTGCCAAATCAACCTCTTGTTCTAGGCAACTATTAAAAGTAATTTTCTTGAAACTGAAAAACACATTTAGCCTTCCACAATAAATCATACTAACATCGGTTACTAGTCAATTAGATTACTAGAATATCAGACTCATAGAACACTTGCAATATTTTCAAAATAAAGTTGTTTACATTTCTATTTCTGTCTTTAACCCTTAAAATGCAAACAAATACAGGCGTGAAGACAGATGCCTTTTAGTTATTTCTTCTACAAGATAAAGTGGATAGTAATATTATGTTAATAAACATTTATTTAGTATCAAGAATGACATCATCTTTATTAAAAGAGAAACTAAAAGTAATACAATTAAGTAGCTTGTTCTTGTGACTTAGTTAAATAATATAAAGTTTTCATTTCAGTTATGTGGCAATGCTTTGTATAGCTGTATTCCAAATACATAGCATGGTGCCTAGAACATAGCAGGCAGTCAATACATTTTTACCAAATTAAATGAATAAATTACCAGTTGATTTTACACTGAGACCCAACCTATGACCTTTAATCCCCCCAAAATAAAACACACAATCCCATTATATGTGAACCATATCCACAATACCAGAATCTAAGATTCCCACTCTGAAAGAGTAGCTAGAACAACTTCTTTTTGAGGCAATTCTGCTTACTTAGCACATTATTCCCCCCTACAGTTTTCCTTCTTTTGTTTTTGTACTAAGGATATTTGTATAAAAACAGGATCTTTGTTGCTTGGTAATTCATCTGCTCCAGCTGCTTGTATTCTGTTCCCAATCAAAATTTTTGGTTTTTAGCCTCCTCATCATTTTTATAAGGAGTTGAATGAATTGGCCAGGCTTGCTCCTTTTTCCCTCTCCATGGAACACCAGAGGCCCCAAGCTCCCTGACACTGTTCTTTTTGTTTCTATCTTTGGGTTGTGTGTGCACTCTAAGACACTTGTACCAGTGAAGAGTGTAACAAAGTATTGTGCCATGTGTAGTCTCTCATACACCATCTATCAGCTCATTAAAAAGTGCTCATTGATTATCAGAGGACCCCCTCCTCAGTTTCAGAATTCTCTAGCTTTAAGTTAGCGCAGGGTTACCCCAAAGTCAGAGAGGGTACATGGGAGCGGGTTGTGAAGGCCAGTAGCCCAGGGAAAATCATGAAAGGGCAGTTGGGTGCATTTAGGTGAACAAGAAAACAATGAATCACTCCATCAAATGTGAAAACACATAGGAAAACTGATCACCCACTGTTAATGTCAATTCAATTTAAAGCACTTTATTAACCACCCATACATATTTTCCAACGTCTAATTCTCATCCTGTTCTTTTCCATTCCAGACTTGCCTGTCTCTTTCCCAGAGCTCTGTTCCTCTTATTTCTCACTGTTTCTACAAAAGGGACAATAAACAATTTTCTAGCCACTCATCATCATAAACCTTGACATGCTAAATTACCCCCTGCTCAGTTTATGGACCACAGTGGGCCCATAAAACTCCTCCCTCACCAGCAACCCACCCCACACAAAATTCTCACTTCCCTTTTTCCCTGCTTTAGGAAGCTTCCTAAAAAAAGCAACGGAGCCACACCCACCACCTCCTGTGCTAGGAGTTTGTCCCCTAATCCTGGGACACTAGGGAGCTCCTTACCTGGAAGGCAGTTGCACTCAAAAGTGAAGTCACCAGTCTGCCGACAGGTGCCTCCATTGGCACAAGGGGAGGGTGCACAGGGCACATATGGGCTATCACAGTACTGGCCTGTGAAGCCCTGAGGGCACTGGCACTGGTAGGAACCAGGCAGGTTGAGGCAGGTGCCACCATGCTGGCAGTGTCCTGGAATGTCACACTCATTGACATCAGTCTCACACTTCTGCCCTGTGAAGCCTGTGAGGCATTTGCAGGAGAACTGGTTGGCCACAGTGGTACAGGTGCTTCCATTTGCACAGGGATGAGACAGGCAGGCATCAGTCCATTGGCACAGTTTACCTAAAGGAAGGATAACAGAACTCAGTACTAGCCACAGAAACAGAAGCTGGCCCCATCCTCAACACCTCATCTTCCAACCAATAGGTGACAGCAGGGAGCTCTTGCATGGAGAAGACTTCAACTCTGAATTTTACAGAAGGCCAAATTGGAGTGTCCTCAAGGCCATCTGACCAGAGCACTCTCCGGAAACTCTCCAACACACTCAGCCAAGACACAAGGACTCAGTGTGTAGAGCACCTGGAGGAAACTGTAGGTTAGTCATATTGAAGCAGAATCTTGCACAATGCTATCAGCAACAGGAGTCTGGATCCATCTACTCTCTCAGAGCTCTTTGTCTCTGCATATGCTGCTTCTCTGTTTGAAATATCAACTTCCTTTCTGTTTTCCTAGTGAACTCTCACTCATCTTGGCAACTCTGCTCAAAAGTTCCAACCTCTGTAAAGTCATCCTTAGTGCCCCCCACACATATACACACGTGTGCAAACATAGACACATCAACATAGACACATTATATAACAAACATAGACACATTATATCACCTGCTACACTGGCAGGGTTGGGTCTCCACAGTATGCTCTCAAATCATGTCTGTTGAATGGATAAAATTCCCGCAAAATATAGTTACTAAATAGACCTCTTTGGTGATAGAAACAAGTCAATACTACTTCTGTTTCCTCTAAATGTAACACATATATTCTGGGAAACATTTTATTAATTGTGGTCTTGCCATTAATATAACTTGATGTGTTTGAAAATGATGAAGGGCCTCTGAGTTCCTAGATATCAAATGAAATAGAAGATGTCAGGAGGACAGAGGTCTAGAAGGCACTCTGTGGACTTTCTCAAGTAGGAAAGTACCAACAGTAGCAGGAACTCTGATGGGTTGAAGACTAAATCATGATGCCAGGGGAGGCAAAGCATATTCTTTGAGGTAAAAAAAGAAAGAGAAAAACAATATCCTCACAGAACTAGTAAATTTGATATTCACATAGCTGGCTTTTTGTTTTCATTAGCCTATGTCGTTTATTATTTAAACTAAAGAGAGGAGAACTTGAATTTGTTAATGCTCAATTGATTGTCTAGGAATATATCTAAATCTCTGTCCTTATTGAAGGGTAAATGGAAGACACAAGAGGTTTTCCATAAGGGAAAAAGAGGTGACATGAGACATGAGCACAGACAAGTGTTCTCTGCCTATCAAGGAATGTCAAATCAAAGCAGAAAAGTGTAATACTAATTTAGGAGCACCATATACATCTCAGAGAGCTAAGGCATAAAATCAAAGAATTGCAATTCTTCTTCCTGTCTTTCCACTCATGTCACTAAGAGGTACCTATTTACAGAGGAGAAAAGATATAAATGCTCACATCTGGTGAGTGTGAATATCACAGTGGTGCCCACTAGCGAAACAGAAAGATCCCTGGGCCAGAAGTGGTGGCTCACACCTGTAATCCCAGCACTTTGAGAGGCCAAGGCAGGCAGATCACTTGAGGTCAGTAGTTTGAGACCAGCCTTGGCTACATGACGAAACCCCATCTCTACTGAAAATACAGAAATTAGCTGGGCTTCATAGTGCATTCCTGTAATTCCAGCAACTCTGGAGGCGGAGGCATAAGAATCACTTGAATCCGAGAAATAGAGTTTGCAGAGAGCCAAGGCTGCGCCACTGTACTGCGCGAAAGAGTAAGACTCCAACAACAACAACAACAACAACAACAAAAATAAAAAAAAACATACCCTGAATTTGGTTTCCATACATATTATGTATAGGCATTAACTTTCTCCCTCTGCTTCTTCACCTCTGAGTAGAAATGAGCTAGTAAGGTCTCACTGAGGTACAGAGCTACCATAAAAACTAAAATGATGACCTTGATCTGTGATGATTCCTAAAGTGACAGACAAAAGTAGCAAATGTATAAAAGATGATCAGAACCTTACAAAATACCAAGAAGAGATCCCTTTTAATGGCAAAAGAAGAAGCTTTGATTTGGGGACCACTTCAGAGAGATATTTTAATTATGAAGAAGGCATTACTGTCATTTCCACCAGTCAGAATTAAAATATTTTAAATGGATTTGTGCCCCTCCACTTTGCCTAATAGCAAAACAACTCAAAGTTGACAATCAGGAAGAAATTGTTCTTACAACCACCAAGTATTTTCAATGACTTACATCATCAATGCTATCATAGTCACGATGGAGATAATGGATCATCATAACTACCCTCTATTCCCACCAACACGTTTTGATGAATGGTATGGTTTGGCTGTGTCCCCAACCCAATCTCAACTTGAATTGTATCTCCTAGAACTCCCACATGTTATGGGAGAGACCCAGGGGTAGGTAACCGAATTATGGGAGCTGGTCTTTCCCATGCTATTCTGGTGATAGTGAATAAGTCTCATGAGATGTGATGGATGTATCAGGGGTTTCCACTTTTGCTTCATCCTAATTTTCTCCTGCCACCACCAAGTAAGAAGTGCGTTTTGCCTCCCACCATAGTTCTGAGGCCTCCCCAGCCAAGCGGAACTGTTAGTCCAATTAAACCTCTGTTTTATCAGCAGTGTGAAAATGGACCAATACAGTAAATTCAGCTCTACTGAAAATGGGGGTTTTGCGAGAGTGTCAGCTATCCAGAGAGAAACTTCAGAGGGAACCAATTACTAGATGGTTGGATTAATATTTGGCCCCTACAAGCAGGTCAGATGACCAATTTGCACATCAGGATCACTACGTACCTTCGCCCTGCTGAGGCACAGTTCACCATCTTTCCAGTCCTAACACGTGTGCTTGTGCTCCACCTTCCCAGTGTGGAAGGCGAGACAGGCCAGTGGAAAGCTGACCTGGCTAATGCCACTGCTGAGTGCCCAATTTGCCAGCAACAGAAACCAACACTGAGCTCTTAATATGGCACTATTCCTCAGGGTGATCAGCCAGCTACCTGGTGACAGGTTGATTATATTGGACTTCTTCCATCATGGAAAGGGAAGAGGTTTGTCCTCAATGGAATAAACACCTACTCCAGATACGTGTTTGCCTATCCTGCACACAATGCTTCTGCCAAGACTACCAGCTGCAGACTCAAAGAATGTCTTATCCACCATCATGGTATTTCACACACCATTGTCTCTGACCAAGGCACTCACTTCACAGCTAAAAAAGTGTAGCAGTGGGCTTATGCTCATGGAATTCACTGGTCTTAGCATGTTCCCAATCATCCCGAAGCAGCTGAATTGACAAAAGGATGGAATGGCCTTTTGCAGTCACAATTACAATGCCAAGTAGGTGACAATATTTTGCAGGGCTGGGGCAAAGTTCTCAAGAAGGCTGTGTATGCTCTGAATCAGCATCCAATATATACTACTGTTCCTACCATGGCCAGGATTTATAGGTCCAGGAATCAAGGGGTGGAAGTGGACATGGCACCACTCACCATTGCCCCTAGTGATGCAACAGCAAAATTTTTGCTTCCTGTTCCTGCGACAGCTCTGCTGGCCTAGAGGTCTTAGTTCCAGAGGGAGGAACGCTGCCACCAGGAGACACAACAGCGATTCCATTAAACTGGAAGTTAAGGTTGCCACCAGGACACTTTGTGTTCCTCCTACCTTTAACTCAACAAGCTAAGAAGAAGAGAGTTACAGTGTTGGCTGGGGTAACTGACCCAGGCTATCAAGATGAAATCAGTCTACTACTCCACAATGGAGTTAAGGAAGAGTATACATAGAATACAGGAGATCCATTAGGGCCTCTTAGTATTACCATGCCCTGTGATTAAAGTCAACGGGAAATTACAACAGCCCAGTCCCTCAGGAATGAAGGTTTGGGCCTCTTCACCAGGAAAACCATTACGACTGCTGAGGTGCTTGCTGAAGGCAAAGGGAATACAGAATGGGTAGTAGAAGAAGGTAGTCATCAATACCAGCTACTACCACATGACCAGCTGCAGAAAGAAGTAGTGTAATTGTCCTGAGTATTTCCCTCCTTCTTTTGTTAACAACATGTCTATGCAAGTACACACCTGTACTAAGAAAATATCTTCATTTTATTTCCTTTCTTCTTCATCGTGTGACATAAGATTTATTGACTTCACATCAGCATTTAAGTATTGTTAACTTAAAGTATTTCGGTTGGGGATTGGGGCATTTCCGGTTGCATGAAGAATAGCTGTACTATGTTAGGCATAATTATGACCTTACTATTGTCATTATTTGAAGATTACGTATGATCTCAGGAGATGTGTATGGGTTCAAATTGACAAAGGGCAGACTTGTAATGGTTAAAACTGTCAACTTGATTGAATTGAAGGATACAAAGTACTGATCTTGGGTGCGTCTGTGATGGTGTTGCCAAAAGATATTAACATTTGAGTCAGTGGGCTAGGGAAGACAGACTCATCCCTAATCTGGATGGGCACCATCGAATCAGCTGTCAGCAAATATAAAGCAGGCAGAAAAATGTGACAAAGTGAGACTGGCCTAGTCTCTCAGCCTGCATCTTTCTCCCGTGCTGGATGCTTCCTGCCTTCAAATATAACCTCAAGTTTTTCGGTTTTGGAACTCAGACTGGTTCTCCTTGTTCCTCAGCCTGCAGACAGCCTACTGTGGGACCTTGTGATCATGTGGATTAATACTTAAACTCTGCTCTCTCTCCCCCTCCCTCTCCCTCTCTCTCTCTCTCTCTCTCTCTGTATATATATATATATATACACACACACACACATACATAATTACTCCACTATATATATATATATATATATATACACACACACACACACACACACACATATATTCCATTAGTTCTGTCCCTCTAGAGAATACTGACTAATGCAATGAAAAATTAATATAACAGTGTCCTCTACACTAACTGATTCAGTATTGTTTTCTGACCACATTTTTCATCTTTTTGCTTATTGCATTCATGGAACTCTTGGTTTAGAGCTTATAGTAGGAGAAAAAATGAAGAATGTTTCCCCTTTTCTAATTTAATAAACACTTTTGAATAAAGCTCAGACCCACCTAGAAAAACCCACAATCTATTCAGGTGAGAGATGTGTAAAAAAATTACAACAAAATGTGATGCATAAAAATAATAAAACTTAGAGGCCAACTGCCTAAAGAAATCATGAAGGGGTCACTAAGACACAGTTTTAAATAGCATTGGACAATCACCAATTATAGAAAAGGGCATTCCAGGCAAAAGGATGTGTAACTGTACAGAGGCGATGACAAGTATGACATTTTCAGGAAATGTGGAGAATTTGGTGTGACCAGGCCTAGATGCTTGTGGGGAGGTCAGGCTATAAAATGATGTAAAGCTTAGGTTGTAAAGAGCTATAGACGCCATGTACAAGAGTTTTCAGTTTATTCTATGGATAATGAAAAATATTAGACATTGTAAGCAGGTGAGATTGTTGGAATATTTGCATTTATAATTAAAGATGTAGCAACATCATGGGGGACTGAGATGAGGAGAGAATAAAGGCAAGGAAACCTATTCAGAAACTACTTCAGAAGTCCAGATGAGAGATAACATGGCCCTCAACTACAGGGCAGCAGAGGATACAGGAGGAATAGACAGGTGAGAAGCAATTCAGAGGTTAGGTTGGGTGACTGAGTTGAAGTGAGGTAAGAACAAGCGACAGGGAGTTTCCAGCTTGGATATCTGGGGTGTAGAGTGTTGCTACATACTTCTATCAACATGGTGAGCTGAAGGCACCTGTAGAATATCTCCAAGGAGAACATGAATGTCAGGGCTGGGTGGAGCTAAGGGAGTGATAGTGAGATTCATCAGCAACTGATGAAGATAGCGGCAGTGGAAGCAATTAGAGACGTGAAATTCCCTCGGGAGAGCTATGATGGGGCTCAAAAGAGGGTGCAAAACAGTGCTCCAGGCAGCACAAACATTTAATGGATAAGAACAAGGCAATGAAGAACCAAAAGGAACAGCGTTCAGAAAACCAGAAAATCCAGTGCCCTAAATGTGTAAGGAGGGAGATTTCTAAAAGTAAGTAGTCAATAACATCGGCAACTTTTCCTCTGATGACAGTGTACTTCTTTCTCTTAGTGAAGTAACTCTGATTCCCCATCTAAACATACATACTTTTTTTTGAGACAGGATCTCACTCTGTCACCCAGGCTGGAGTGCAGTGGTGCGATCATAGCTCACTGCAGCCTCAAACTCCCGGGCTCAAGCAATTCTCCCACTTCAGCCTCCCAAGTAATTAGGACTACAGGAGCACACCACCATATGTGGCTAATTTTGTTTTATTCGTATTCTTATCTTTTGAAGAGATGGGGTCTTGCCATGTTTCCCAGGCTGGTCTCAAACTCCTGGCTTAAAGTGGTCCTCCTGCCTTGGCCTGCCAAAATGCTGGGATTGCAGGTGTGTGCCACTGTACCTGGCCCTGACATATATACTTTAAGCAGTCAAAGTATTTATTTGGTCCTTTTTCTTTCTCTTTCTCTGCCCGTTAAAACTCTCAAAGGAAGTTAGGGATAGTTGTATGGAACATCCCAGTTCCTTATCATTAATTTAAATGTGCACCAGAGCTGGGGCAGTCTTAATGACCAGACACTATGATCTAAAAGATGCTAAGTAAAGGTATCTGCTGAGGATAGGAAAGCACAGGCTTTAATTCTATTAGTTACCTGTAAACCCAACTTGGCAGGTGCACTCATAGGTACCCCGGCTGAGCATATGGCATGTGCCACCATTCAGACAGGGGCGAGACACAAAGCAGGGGTGAGATGTCGAGTACTGGCAGTCCTCTCCTGTGAACCCGGAGGCGCATCGGCATGTCGCTTTCCCCAGCATGGCCTGGGCCACACAAGTCCCACCATTCTGGCAGCGGTTCTTCTCACAGGGGTCTCGATGTTGACAGTATTCTCCCAAGAAGCCCTCTGGACATCTGTATGGAAAAGAGAAGAGTCCATGAAAACATCTAACTTCTTGTGGGTCCAAAAGCTCACAGTAGGAAATGCAGTCCATTCAAGAAAGCACGAGCTTGTGAATCAAGAGACCTACAGGTTCCACCTCTAAAACTGCCCCCCTTTAGAAGAAGGAGTGCTCGGAGAACTTAACCACATACTCCCATGTCCTTTTGAGTCTTGGAGACAGAGTACCAGGTGTATGGTCCAGCAGGGTCTGCTATGGCCAATGTGACCCCTATTCAAAGGCAAAATGCACTACAGCTTTTTTTCACGTGTGTACAGGCTGGGATTATGTAATAGCACCTTTTTTAGAGTATTGTTCCTACTTGTCTCCTGAAATTATCTTTCTCATTTTGACTAAGCCATTTGATAGGATTAAGATGTCTACAAGATAATGCATAAACCTGGCCCTCTTATCCCCTCCAATTTAAAATATGTAAGATACCATGTGAATTTCCTCAATTAAGCATTGAGAAATAGTAAGTTCTTTGTCTCGTTTCCAGTGAAACATCAATTGGCCTATACCTAGATTTCTGGGTTATCTTCAGGTGGTTGACGTTGCAACAGAAAAAGGGAAAGGAGGTACAGAAATGGGGAAGGGTTCAAAGGGATATTTAAAAATCTGTTAATATTTAAGTAGTAGGCACTTTTTAACCAAATAAAAAGGCACAAAACACAATTAAAATAACATAAAATATCTAAGATACCATATAAACACCAAAGTAAAGGAAGAAAACAACTGAAGAATAATAATCTGTGATATTCTCCACATCGGGGCACTGAGAAACCTTTTTATATGCCACCCCTTGATTCATGAGATGCACAACCATTTCAAACTGTGTATAATATTTATGAAAATTTTCTCTGAACAGTATCAAAAAGGCATGATAAGTCTCCATTTTCATAACCAAGTTTTTAAAATGGAATCTCTGAGAAGCATTTAAATTAAGAAACACAAAGACTTTGATTCTAACTATAAATGCTGTTATTTGGCTGGTGCCCCAAATATGTGATTCATATTCCTTGTTTTAGCTTTCAGGGACTAAAAAACTGCATCTAGTAGGCTGTTCCATCATTACCTCAAAGATTACACATTTAAACCAAACTTGAAATCTCCCTCTCAAAAACCAGCTCTTCCTGTGCCCAAGCCCTAGTGTCCTGATTTTCCTAATCACTCTGACCTGAAACTCTGAGGTCATGAGTGCTTTTGTCTTTGACAGTCATATCCAAGACCTTTCATTAACCACTGATGGCAAGGTGAGCTCTGCAGGGGTCACAGTTACTGAGAAGAGAAGGCAGGCCAGATATTAAGAAACTAAGATAGAACATACGCAGAATTGCATAGTAGCTAAAATGGCTAGAGGAGAAAACAGGGCTGGTGAATAGCTACAGTGGTAGTGAGGTAACTGGCGACAGGCTCTTCACCCCTCACAGAGCTGTGTAAGAGAAGCATGGCAGAGCCAGGAGCAGCTAGGGCTCTGGGCATCTTCATGAGTAGGTGAAACTGGAGACCAATAGGCAGTGAAGAAAGTTCACAGCACTGAAACCAAACATGGCATGTAGGTAACCATGAGGAGTCTTACCTAAGAAGGTCAGAGGGTCTTGTTTGGAGTCCTAGTGTTGTGACCTTGGACAAGTTACTTATCCTCACTGACTAACCATTCTCTCACACTGTAAATAGTTAATAAGGCCACCTACATCAGAAGATTATTGTGAGAACTGAACAAAATCAAGTATATAAAAAACCTTATAAATATTAAAAAGTTTTGCAAGTGGGCCAAGCATGGTCATGCCTATAATCCCAGCACTTTGGGAGGCAGAAGTGGGGAGATTATCTGAGGTCAGGAATTTAAGACCAGCCTGGCCAACACGGTGAAACCTCGGCTCTACTAAAAATACAAAAATTAGCCTGGCCTGGTGGCGCACACTTGTAATCCCAGCTACTCAGGAGGCTGAGGCATGAGAACTGCTTGAACCCAGGAGGCGGAGGTTACAGTGAGCCGAGACTGCACCACTGCACTCCAGCCCAAGTGACAGCAAGATTCCATCTCAATTAAAAAAAAAAAAAAGTTTTGCTTTTTTTCTCTCTTCTTTGTGCTTACTGAGGAAAATGCAATGCCCTATCCAAATCACAGCTTGATTTGAGAATAGTTTCTTGTGTTTGTTATTTTAAGTGGAGGAGCAAAAAGTGCCAATGTAGCATAGCTAAAGTTTAACTCTGAGATATTATTAAAAGCACTGCGGCTTATTCAAGAAATGTGTTATGAATGATGTTAAAAACTGCAACACAGTTCTCATTTCCAGTGCAGTCCTCTGGGCATTATTAGACGACTCTTGATTCTCCCATATGGGAATTATGCACCTTTTAAATCATGGCAAATTTTTTTTTCCCATTTATTTATTTTATTGCATTTCACATTTTGGGGTACATGTGAAGAACATGCAAAATTGTTGCATAGGAACACACGTGGCAGTGTGATTTGCTGCCTTCCTCCCCATCACCTACATCTGGCATTTCTCCCCTTGCTATCTCTCCCCAGCTTCCCACCCCGCACCGTCCCTCCCCTATTTCCCCCCAACTGACCCCAGTGTGTAGTGCTCCCCTCCCTGTGTCCATGTGTTCTCACTGTTCAACACCCGCCTATGAGTGAGAACATGCGGTGTTTGATCTTCTGCTCTTCTGTCATAATCATGGCAAATTTTTAAACCTGGGTAGGCTTTGCCCAGCTTCGCTCCTGAACTATTACACCACTCCCAACACTATCATGTGGCACATGCTAAGAGGATGCAAACTCATTTAAATGATAGCATCATAAACATGATGGAAATACAAGTTCCCAGGAAAACAAAAATGAAGCAAAATGGAAGTTTCTAAAGCTAAACAGATATATTTCTAAATTATTTGTTTCTATAGCTTAATTCACATTGCTGCTCCCTATTAAGTATATGGAAAAATAAGTTTTAACTAAGATATATCTAAGAAATCAGCAAAAGCAGAGATTGGCAAAGTACAGTTTGCAAGTCTAATTTGGACCACTGCCTGTTTTTGTTTGGCCTGTGAACTAAGAATAGTTTTTACGTTTTTAAATGATTAAGAAAAAAACAAAAGAAGGATATTTTCTGACATTTCAAAATTATATAAAATTCAAATTTCAGTGTCCATAGTATTACTGAAACATAGCCATGCTCATTCATTGATAGATGGTCTATAGCTGATTTTGCACTATAACAACAGGGCAAGTTGCTGTAATGAGACCACAAAGCCTGCAAAAGTAATTACTCTCCGGCACTTTACAGAAAAAGTTTGCCAACCTCTGAGTAAAGAATATATGAAGCTTAATTCTATAAATACCATCCAGTATGCTTATTATAATAATCGGTTTCTGATAGGAAATCAAACCTATTAGTTTCCACAAAGAATATTAAAATCATTCATTCATGCAACAATTAGTATACTTACTAATATGTAATATTAGTAATAATACATAATAATACTATTATGCACCAGGCATTTTTCTAGTACTAGAAAAAGTCTTGCACTTACGGAGTTGAAATTCTAATAGGGGAAGAAGAAAACAAAATTACTAAGTAAAAGATGCCATGTTAGACAGAGTTAAGTGCTATGAAAAAAAAATAAAACAGGAAGGAACGGAGTTGGGGATGGGAATGTGGGGTGAGTAAAGAGAAGTGTCTCAGTTTAAAACAGGAAAATCAGAGAAGGCCTTCACTGAGAAGGTAATACTTGAGTTGAGACCTGAATAAGGTGAGAGTAATCATTCAGGCATCTTAGAGAAACACATTCAAGAGAAAGTGAGCAGCAGATGCAAAGGCATCTGCTGAGAGAGCAGCCCTGGCATATCTGAGGAACAGCAAGGAGACCTGGAACAACAGAAAATAGATGAGAGCTGTAACTGTGTGGATCAGTTGGGGCATTTAAGCCACTGTGAAGAAGGACTTAGAGTTTTCCTCTAAATGGGATAATACTTAGATACGAGGAACAACACACTTACTCTCCTAAAGCCCATGTACAGAACCACATATTGGCTTTATTTGAAACTAGACCTACGGTTAGTATTAATATAATAAAGATTTGATTTCTATTTAAAATGTTCTAGAGGGCTGGACACCAGCTTAGTTCTTTACTTTTACCTTAAAACATATACAAGTCTCTTTAACCTACATTTTCATGAAGTCCCATTTCCCTTTCTAAATTCTTCCTTCACAACTAACCTATGACTGTAGCCTAATTTCAGATATTTCTCTTTCTTTTCTATCTGCTTCTTACTTATCCCTCTGCAACAAAACTTCAATTCTAATTACTGCTTAGAAACTGTTTTCTAAGAACAATTACTTCCCTGTGTCAAGTTCAGTGGTCTCATCTGAGGCTTCATAAGGAAATTCTCTCTCCTATTGGGAGAATTGCCACTCCACACACCATTTTAATCATTTTACCTTGGCTTCTATGACTCCGTCTGTCCATCTCAAAGCCCAGTGAAGTCTTAGTCTGGATAGCTGATTTCTCTTCTCCTTCTTCCCCATCTATTATAGCCACCTTAATGTTTAAGTCTGGGCTGCACTGCTCTTTCCCTCATATGCATTCATTACTGTTGTTGTTCACTTGGTTTAAAATAACTACCTTCATGTAACTGACTCCAAAATACACTGCTCGAGTCCCATATGTTCAGTTTTCTAAAAGTCGTCTCTCTACCCTAATAAGTCCTGCCACTATTTGAAACTAAACATTTAAAAAAGGAGACAATTTTCCCAAGAAACTTTAATTCTTCCACTTTTCTAAGGCTTCTACACACAATTTAACTTAATCTCTTTAAGTTATATATAATTTATTACCACATTCTGACAAGACTTGTTAACTGAATTCCTATAATACTTATCATTCATGTTCACAGTTTCCTTTTTGATACAAATTGTGATCATCTTAAAAGCCTGAGGCCAGATATTGTTGCTGGCCTTTCCCCCA